GTTTTTTTTTTTTTTTTTTTTTTTTTTTTTTTTTTTAAGATCAGTGTAGCTTCCCTATAAATCTGCCCCCGGGGGTAAATTTATTCCAGTTTAGGAAATGTTGCCAGAAGTAATGAAATTATGAGAGGAAAAATGGCCGTTTTTGTTCTCCATGCTAGGTGCTTGTTTTTCAGTAATGCGTTCCATTTTTTTTAAAGGAAAAAAGGGTTATACTTATGAGGTTTAATCCAATGCCTTCACCTCACACGCCCACACTCCCTCTCTATATCCTTTCTCTCACTCTCTTCCCTTTCCCTCCTCATTCTCCTCATTCTCTGTCCTCTTACTCTTGCCCTCTTAATGTTTCTCTGTCTTCTCTCTCTCGCCTCTGCCTTCTCTCTCTCCCCGCTCTCTGCTCTCTCTCTCGCCTATTCTCTCTCTCGCTCTCTGCCTTTCTCTCTCTCGCTCTCTGCCTTTCTCTGCTCTCTCTCTCTCTGCCTCTCCTCTCATCTCTGCTCTGTCTCATCTCTCTCTCTCTCTCTCTCTCTCTCTCTCTCTCTCTCTCTCATCTCTCTCTCTCTCTCTCCTCTCTCTCTCTCTCTCATCTCTCATCTCTCGTCTCTCCTCTCTCTCTCTCTCTCTGCCTTTCTCTCTCTCGCTCTCTCTCTTGTCTTCTCTCTCCATCTCTCTCTGCTCTTTCTCTCTCCTCTCTCTCTCATCTCGTCTCTCTCTCTCATCTCTCTCTCTTCTCTCTCTCTCTCATTCTCTCTGCCATCTCTCTCTCTCGTCTCTCTCTCTCTCTCTCTCTCTCTCTCAGCTCTTCTCTCTCTCTCTCTCTCTCTCCCTGTCTGTACTGTCCTGATCTGTCTGTCTCTCTCTGTCATCTCTGTCTGTCTCTCCTCTCTCCTCTCTCCGTTCCTCTCTCTCTCTCTCTCTCTCTCTCTCTCTCTCCCATCTTCCTCTCTCTCTCTTTCTCTCCTCTCTCTCTTCTCTCTCTCTCTCTCTGCTCTCTCACTCTCTCTCTCTCTCTCTCTCTCTCTCCCTCTCCCTCTCCCTCTCTTCTCTCTCTCTCTCTCTCTCTCTCTCTCTCTCTCTCTCTCTCTCTCTCTCTCTCTCTCTCTCTCTCTCCTCCCTATCCCTCTCCCTTCCTATCCTCTCCCTCTCTCTACCTCCCCTCCCCCTCCCCTCTCTCTTCCTCTCCCTCTCCCTCTCCCTCTCCTCCCCTCCCCCTCCTCCCTCCCTCCCTCCCTCCCTCCTCCCCCTTGCTCTCTTCCCTCTCTCTCTCTCTCTCTCTCTTCTCTTCTCTCTCTCTCTCTCTCCTCTCTCTCTCTCTCTCTCTCTCTTCTCTCTCTCTCTCCTCTCTCTCTCTCCCTCTCTCCCTCCTCCTCCTCTCTCCCTCCCTCCCTCCCTCTCCCTCTCCCTCCTCTCCTCTCTCTCTCTCTCTCTCTCTCTCTTCTCCTCTTCTCTCTCTCTCTCCTCTCTCTCTTCTCTCTCTCCTCCCTCCCTCCCTCCCTCGCTCCCTCCCCTCCCTCCCTCCCCTCTCCTCTCTCTCTCTCTCTCTCTCTCTCTCTCTCTCTCTCTCTCTCTCTCAGAAAAGCAGAGGAAATAGCCGAGCGTCTGCGGGAGGTCTTCCAAGTCGTCATTCCCTGCGACGGAGCCCTGGAGGAGCCTCTCGCACCGATCCGCCAGAGGTAAGTTGATACATTTTTTCGACTTCGTGGGATCTTATTATTGTTTTTATCGTTTATGTTCTTGTTTTAGGTAATTTTCTATATTACGTGTTTTATGTATTTAGACGTAGTTTGTTTTATGGGATTGATTATGGTGTTGGTGGATTATATAAAGCTGAAGGTGAAAGATTGTAACACTAGCTTTACATTTAAAATTGCTTGAGTTTACCCTGAGTTCAATTTTCTATATCTATATCAAAGAAAACTTTAAGCTTTCAGCCATGATCTTTGCGGTTTAAAAAATATATATTTATTTCTCTTTATTTTTACATGTTATGATATAAAGTGAGATAAAGTTTCCTTCAGATTAAAAAAACTTATAGCTTACCATAATTTAAACAACTTATAGCTTACCATAATTTAAACATTTATTTGGTGCCGTTCTTATTAATAAATGTAGTAATACAAGTTCGCAAATTATTAACTTAACAAGTGTTTCTCTATGATTTGAATAATAAGGAAACATTTAAACACAAGTTAAGGAAATACAGCAGGCGTCATTTTAGAATATAGGTCTGCGTTGAATAAAACTAATAGGCTTTAAAGGTGGGCGGGGGAGCTTATTGTATATTTAAGGTGTAATATATCCCTTGTATCAAGTATGTTGTATTGTGTACAAGCCCTCTCTTTACTGGTATGTTATAGATCCATAGTCCGTTTAGGGTAAATTTCGATTAAAATCACCTCCGACTTTATGTAATATACGTTATCTCATTGTCATATGATTCCTAAACAGTTAAATGATATCCACTGACTGAATGATGAATGAATATCCTATTTGATCTTTTTTTTTTTTTTAAGAAACGATCAAAACTGGTATGTAAATACTGTCACTTTGACTCCAGTCACACACATACAAGCACACACGCACACACACACACACACACAAGCACACACGCACGTACGCACGACGCACGCACTCGCACGCACACACACACGCTCACCCTCATAACACCTCCAATTAAAGACCAGATTATTGTGTAATTACTATGCAATTACAAGTTTAGAATTTGTAAGCCATGCGTTTATTCAGTCAAGGTTTGGATTCAGTTTGGCATAATATTCATTGGATTGAACTAAAATTTAAGTAGGTATTGTCAGTGTCATTTACCATTGCCGATATTGTCTCTATCCCAGACCAGTAAACAAGTGGTTAAGAAATGTTTAATTGGCTTGTTTGGAATTAAGAGCTTCAATTTATTTTTATCTATTTCTTTTTTGGAAATCTGGTAGCAATCATAAAAATAGATTCACCTTTATTCAAATGCTTTACCATCTGTATTTTATTACGTAATATTCAAGTTTGGTTATTTTCACTGTAGTTTCTCCCAGAATATTATACAAGATTCCGTGAGAACATAAACCACTGAACTTTTAAGAGTATGTATACATTAAGGCTTTTATGATAAGCATTCATTGCTAATTATGAACAACAATAAAAACAGATTAGGATAATTTTGGAATAGGATGATTGGAAAAAGTTAAATATTCCGAAGGGAAACCATCGTTCTGTTGCCTTTACGATTGTTTTTAAAGGATCATTTCCTAATATGGAGACAATCACTTTCAAAATTGACCTTATAATTACAGTGATCATCCGGGAGAATAATAACTCCTATTGATACTGTCAGTAGAAGTTATGGAACGAAAGAATTGTGTTTCCCGAAAATCTAAATGTATTTCCTCGTGTGAAGTTTTAATAACATTGCAGTTTTCTGGGCCTGTCTCATTAGGCCAGCTGTGAGTGCAGCGATAACACCTGCAGTCATTTTCATCATTTTGTTTCCTCTTCATTTCTCCCTTTACTCATCTTTCCCATCCGTTCGTTTTTCTTTTTTTTTTTTCCTCTTCCCCTATTCTCCATTTTCTCCTCGACTTTGCACTGCAGTGACGTAATCAGACTACAGTAATGATAATTTTTTGCTTTACGACTTATTAGGTATGACGTGATCATGACGACTCTTTGCCTGGAGTTCGCGACCACGACCAAAGACGACCATCGAACTATGCTCGGCCGCGTCGTCAGCCTTCTGAGGCCCGGCGGTGTGCTGCTCATGGCGGTAGGTTTCCGAGAGGGGGGGGGTAGAGAGAGAGAGAGAGAGAGGAGGGAGAGAGAGAGAGAGAGAGAGAAGAGAGAGAGAGAGAGAGAGAGAGAGAGAGAGAGAAGAGGGGGGGGGGGGGGAGAAGGGGGGAGAAAGAGAGAGAGGGGGAGAGGGAAAGAAAGAGGGGAGAGGAGGGGGAGAAAGAGAGAGAGAGGGGGGGGTGGAAAGGGGGGAGAAAGAGAGAGAGGGGGGGGGAGGGAGAAAGAAAGAGGGGAGGGAGAGAGAGAAGGGGGAGGGAGGAGAAGAGAGAGGGGGGAGAGGAAGGGAGAGAGAGAGAGAGAGGAGGGACTTGATATAGATTCAATGTTCTTCCGAATGTGTTTTGGGTAATAAGTTAAGTAGTAAGAACACATATACGCACACGCTGTAATAAAGATTGCCCATAAAATCATAAATAGACATCATAGCCACCAGTTGCCCCCAAGCACTTCATCCCTCTTACCATTTTAACTCAAAACCTATGCAGGGGATTTTTTCAAAATTCCCTTAATCTTGAAAACCCTGCTCCCCCCTCAGGGCGCCCTCGGCAACACCTCCTACGCCGTGGGATCGACTCGCTACCCCTCCGTCAGTCTACAGAAGGAGGACCTTGAGGAGGCCGTCGCTTCGGTGGGCCTGAGTGTGACCTCCATGACGACCCTCGAGCGACTGACGTCCTCGAAGGAGAAGCCAGCGGACCACCTCGGCGTCTTCTTCCTCGTGGCGGAGAACCGGGAGGAACCGGGGGTCTAGTGGGATTGGATTCTTGGCAAAACGGTAGTTGATATGTTATTAAGGCGGGATAAGTGAACGAAAACGTAATATATGGACGCACAGATACACACACACGCGTATATATATATATATATATTATATATATATATATATGTATGTATGTATGTATGTATATATATATATATATATTATATATATATATATATATATATACGTATATACAGACACATACATATATATATGTGTATATATATATATATATATATATATATATATATATATATATATATATATATATATATGCACATATATATACAGACACATATATATATATATATATATATATATATATATATATATATTATATATATATATAAACATGTATATGTATGTATATGTATATGTATGTATGTGTATAGGAACGTACACGCACACGAACGAACGGGCACACACACACACACACACACACACATATATATATATATATAATATATATATAAATGTATATATATTTGTATTTATATCTATCTATCTATATCTATCGATCTAAATATACATGTGTGTGTATGTGTGGTGTATTATATATATATATATATATATATATATATATATATATATATGTGTGTGTGTGTGTGGGTGTGGTTGTGTGTGTGTGTGTGTGTGTGTGTGGTGTGTGTGTGTGTGTATGTGCATCACATACATACATGCATATAATATATATATATATATATATATATATATATATATATATATATATACACTTATACACACATGTATATATTAAATTTAGGCATCTATTATGGTATCAGAAGCAGAAAAATCAGTATCCGACTGTATAACATGTTAACAGAGATATATACTTTTTAACTTTCCCATTTACAGCAGCAGATCTTCCTACATCGTCTCCTTGACTGAATCACGACCGAAGGGAGAAAATCCAAACAAGAAAAGAAAAACACTTTATTGACCCGGATACAGTGTTAATAGAATTATTTGAAATTAGCCAAGCAATTGTTTATAACACCAATTTGTTTTTAAATTGTTGCCCGTAATAATATATAAGCCATTAGCATAAACATAAAAATGATGGTGTTATTATTGTTATTAATGAACATTCCCGGATAAAAGTACAAAAGCCATATATTTTATGTCATTTGTGGACTCTTTTGTTATTTCCTTTTGCATAACTTTTTTTTCTTGATGAAGTTTGTTATGATTACATGTTTGAGCACCACAACCTGTCAAACTTAACCATTAAATGTGATTTTTTTTTCACGCTAACACACCAAGCATCACATAAGCAAATTATTGTGAATTGCCGAAGTCCGCCCTCGCTCCAGCTGTTTCAACTTCCCATTTTCTCTTTTGACATTCATTTATCGCCGTTGTTCTTCTGATGATCACCTGGTTTAAAAGTTAATAAAACCATTTTCTCTTTAGACATTCTTTTATCGCCGTTGTTCTTCTGTTGATATGTCTAAAGGGTAATAAAAGCCACTTTCCTTACCCCTTCACTCCCCAACTCTACACAAAACCCGTCTCTTTCAGACAGCATCGATTTCTGTAATCAAACACACATTTCGAATTGCTTTGAAAGGCAAAGGTAAAAAAAATACGCGGGTTAAGAGAAAGTTGTATTTGTACATAATAAATACAGAGCCGGGAACCTGCCCGACGCATACATTCGTCCCTTCATTCCAATGTTATCTTATGTACAGGTTCTGGGTCCATGAGGCGTGTTTCCGTGCACCGTGAGGGAGGGGAAAACCAACCTTATGGACTCCTCTTTTAAGACCGATATATATATATATACTTCGAGTGCAGGATTTGCTCTACCATAACGAATGATAAGCGTAAATATTTCAAAACAAGTTTCAACGTAATGAAGGAATGCTTTTGCATGCTTTTACATCTCGGTCTTTTTGTTATTCATTTATACTCATTCTCATGCAATCAAAAGTTTCGCTCGAAGCCTAACAAGTAAAACAAGAAAAAAAACAAATACTAGTAACTCCAATTGTAACAACTGAACATAACTGGCAACGTCTAGAATATAAAAAAAAATCCATGATTAAAAAAAAAAAATACATAATTTTATTCACATTCCTGGTCCTATTTAAATTTTGTGTTAAGAAATATGAAAATTCCATTTCGTTGCCAGCACTAAACTAATTGTATGTTGCCCCTAACATAACATGCTACAACAATCGTCCACGTAGATTAACAACTATGAAGGAATACACATGTAACAAAAAATGCGAATTAAAAAAAAATGTGTATCAAGAAATCTGGATGAGTATTAAAGCAAAATGAATTAAACATTATACACCCCAATCAACGTTAATCTAAGGATGTACAGTTTTTTTCCTATAGTATTTACTGTCTCTGATCAATCTCATTTAACCTTTGACCTGATTTAAGATTATATTATAAGACAAACTCATCCAGTGGGTGCGAAGAGAGCAGAACTTAAAGAAGCTTTTTCATGACCTCTTTAAAAAAAAAAAAATATGTCACACATCTTATCCTAGGAACCGACACATGCCTTTTTACACAGAGGCTTTCCCTGCTATGTACAGCAAACACGGAAGCCGAAGCCATGCACTACTTGGGCGAATACTGGACTTACGTGGTGAGGGGAGCCAACGGCGGCGGGCGGGGGGACACGCGGTGGGGAGGCTGGGGATGTAGCAGTGGTGTTGTGTAGGTGTGTGTGCTGTGTCTGTGTGTGTGTGTCTGTGTGTGTTTGTGTAGGTGTTGTGTTTGTTGTGTGTGTGTGCTGTGGTAGGTGGTGTGTTTGTGTAGGTGTGTGTGTGAGGTGTGTCTGTGTGTGTTGTAGGTGTGTCTGTGTGTGGTGTGTGTTGGTGTGTCTGTGTGGTGTAGTGTTTGTGTCTGTGTGTTTGTCTAGGTGTGTCTGTGTGTGCTTGTGTAGGTGTGTCTGTGTGTGTTTGTGTAAGTGTCTCTGTGTGTGTGTTTGCGTTTGTGTGTGTCTGTGGTGTGTGTGTGTTTGTATAGGTGTGTCTGTGTTTGTGTAGGTGTCTGTGTCTGTGTTGTGTATGTGGGTGTTGTGGGGGTGTGTGGATGGATGTATGTGTCTATGTGTGTGTTTAGTGTAAATTCAGTGAAGTCATGTTATGGAATGCAATATAGTATGTATTGGTGTGTTGGTCTTGTTTTCTGGTTACAGGTTTTCACATATTTGTGTGTGTTAGAAATATAATTGCACTGATGTATTAGTGTATATGTATTGATACATGTATGTATGTTTACTGGTTGTTACAGTGGCTGTTCTTGTGTTTGTAAAAAATATGGAAAAAAGCATAGTGGCAGGTGACATTATGCTGTTTAGTGTATGTGTGTGGTAGACTTACTGGGTGCGGCGGCCGTCTTAGCTCGGCAGACTCAAATCATCTTGCCTTTGTGAGTGTCCCAGCGCCTGCGAAGGTTCCACTGCTGCTCCCTGCTCTGGCCACCTACCCCGCTTCGGACACGACCGTCATGTGAACCTAGGTCGTAACTGTGGGAGGAGTAGGGCGGGCCAGGAGGAAGCAGCTCGTCTCTTTGACTGTGGAACTGAGGTGCTCCTGGCGGTGGGCGCCGGTTGCCGAAAGGGCGGCCGCGGTAACCGAAGCTTTGCTGGCGTTGCGAAGGTCCCCGGCCGCTGCTCATGCTCTGGTGGTATGAGTTGGTATTTTGTGTTTTGGTATTTACAGTGCTGACACCAGGCGTGTTACTATCGGCGTTACCAGCGTATGGGTTGAGGGCAGCTTGAGGGACATTGGACGGCCCCTGGTAGGCACCCCCGCTCCCATGTTGCTGGTGCACCACATGCCCCTCGACCCCTCCTGAGGGCGAAGCTCCCGTCACCTTGCTGGCCTCAGTGCCTCCATTATTGCTGTAATGATCGAGAGTGTTCATTAGATCGTCCCAAAGACAGCGAACTCCGCATCCCGCTGTCCCGGTTCCCTCTCCGCCTGACTCGGAGAACTGGCTCACCATACTATTGCTACTGCTAACTTGGCCGCTATAGCTAGGATTATTGTTATTATTGTACTGAGATGCAAAGTTATTGTTGGAACCTCTGTTACCATTAGAGCCCCTCGTATTATAGGGATTGCTATTGTGACTATGATTTGGATCTTTGTTATTATTAGAAGGGCCTCTATTGCCGTTAACCTTTACGCCAGATTCAAACCCCTGATTAAAACCATGAAGGAACCCGTCTTTGTACCCTTGCCCTTCATCTGCCGCGTCAAAGTCTTGTCTGTCATTCACGTTACGGTTCAACTGAACGTGCTGCCGTCTGAAAGAGCCAAGGGGTTTACTGTCATGTATTTGCCCGTTGTTATCGTCGCCGAAATAATACCCGTAAATCATGTCAAGACTCTGAGCTCCGAACTGCATCTGCTCAGGAGACAAGATCTCTTCGCTTCTCTGGTGGCGTTCAGGGTGCCATTCTGTTTCCGGAAACACGTCTGACCGTCGAACGCTGTAGGAGTTCGAGGGAGACGCGTGCATGTTCCCGACGTAACTTGAGACGCTGTGCTCAGTCGTCGGGTAAAGCGTCTGTTGGGACTGACCTTTCCCTTCGTCGGTCTTCTTGGGGGTGTGAGTCACCGAGAAGGAGTGGTTGGTGTGGTGCGTCACGGTCAGGTCGTACTCGGGGGCGTGAGTGGGCGCCTCGTCGGGAGCGTCCTTGTCTTTAGTCGGATTTTGGTCGTTGTACACATTAACTGTGACCTGAACTGTCGGATGAGAGGGGCTCGGCTGGTGGACATAGATTGGGTCAGGATGAAGGTCAAAGGTCCCGCTGTCATAGTTAAGGTCAGGAGGGGAGTAGTCCGGAGGGCTTACCTGGACGTCGCGAGCACTGCGGTGGAAGTTTCGGCGGGTGAGCCTTGGGAAGAGGTTCCTGAGTCCGGCCATGGTGCCGTCCACGAACTGGCGGAAGGTCAGGCGAGGGCGCTCCTGACGGACCACAGGGCGGGGGCGCTGAGGGTCGTTAGGAGCTACCAAGTTGTCGCTGGACTGACGGGCCGGGAGGTCATCGAGGGGCACGGGGCGCTGGCGTTTGCGGCCGGGGAAACCGGGGCGATTCTCTCGTGCCACTCCCGGCCGGTTGTTGATGGACCTGTTGCGGGGGACAGTGGCAGTCAGTGACGTGGCGGAGAGGCCCTCACCGATGCAGACGTGAGCCTCACCATCAGGAAAACCATTATCATATTTTCTACTGATCAGATAATAACCTTTTAGCCTATCTTCCACACACCCATCCTCGCCATCCCTTACTCGTAGCCAACGCTGTTATTTCGTACAACCAACAGCCACTTACTTGAGCATGCCAGTGCCGATTCTCGAGGCCATGTCACTCATGTCGTCCATAAATCCCCTGACCATCTGCTGCAGCCTGGAGGGTCGCTGGGCACTGGCGGAGCTGAGGAGGGCCAGCGCCACCACGAGGACCAGGGTCATTCG